CCTCTTCGTTATATCGATTGCTCCTTGCGACAAAAACAAACGAAAATTCGAAACACACGAAGCAATCAATATGCTTACGAAACTATAGTAAAACTGCGTTTGTAGATTTTCCCTCTAGCGACAGAATTTTTTTTTAGAAAGACCCTGTAATTTCAGAGATATGATTACTTCAAAAAAATTATTTAAACAAGTAAGAAAGTCTAAGTTCGGGCGGGGCCGAACATTAAATACCCGGCGCAAGTATTACATATATGGCTTTTCACCTTTCCGAAAGCTACCGCTACATGGTAAGCCGGGGTGTATCAATTTTGAATAAATTAGCGTCCTTAAATTTCGAAATATTGACGTTTCAAGCATTTTTTAAATTTACCGTTATATGAAAAGCCGTAATTTTAGTCCGATTTCAATAATTTTGAACGTTTTGCTTTTATGTGGCAAGCACAATAACCATACCGAGTTTGGTACAAATTGGTGGAACGGTTACCGAGATACATATATGTGATCATAAGTGGGCGGTGCCACGCCCATTTTCCAAAATGTTATGATAAGCGTATTTCCTGGTAAAGAATTGTTGCAAGCATAAATTTTTAATAAATTAGCTTTAATATTTACTGATTTATCGAAGATTTCGTATTTCTCCAAATTACCGTTATATGGGATGTAGGCGTGGTTATTGTCCGATTTTTAAAATTTTCAGCCATTTGGTATCCTGTACCAAGGTCAATAACTGTGCCAAGTTTGGAAGAAATCGGTGCAGCGGTTGCCAAGATATACACATGTAACCATAAGTGGGCGTGGCTACGCCCATTTTTCAAAAATTTATAATATTCTTATTTTTCGTCTAAAAGTTATTGCAAATATCAATTTTGAGTGAATAATCTTCAGTAGTTACTAAAATATCGCAGTTTTCGTATTTCTGAAAATTACCGTTATATGGGAGGTAGGCGTGGTTATTGTCCGATTTTGCCCATTTTCAATACCATCCGTCCTACGCCCGAAAGAAGTACACGTACCAAGTTTCGTTAAGATATCTTAATTTTTACTCGAGTTATCGTGTGCACAGACGGACAGACGGACGGACGGACGGACAGACAGTCACCGCTTAATCGATTTCTCTTTTCATCCTGATCATTTATGTATACATTTGTCTATATCTATCTCGATTCGTTTTGCCTGTTACAAACAACCGTTATGTGAACAAAGTTATAATACCCTTGTGCACAAGTGCGCTCGGGTATAAAAAATTCAGTACAATGTAGAATAACAATATGGGTACCAAATTAAAGATAAAATTCGGAAATTACGAGGATTGGAAATGCCATATTAATTAATATTACTTTCTTAAGCTTCTAAAGTTAGAAGGACGAAATTTGAGAATGAGGTTGGGTGTATCTTAGTCCTTAAACATCTATATTTTCAGTTCTTACTTATTCTTAATAAAGAAAAAAATGTATCTACCTTAGTTCTATAGATTTTGCTCTTTAATTTGGTTTTTGAAATAATTTTTTAAAATAATCATATTTTGTAAATTTCAAATTCCTTTAAAAAATCCTGAAATATAAGGGCTGTTCATTCACAACAATTAAATGCACACGCTTGCCATGGCAACAAGCAAAAAATTTACAAATGCAATTCCAACTGCAAATCCAAGACCATTTCCACAACATCGTGAACAGCCCTATAGTAATATCTTCACTGATTCGTCGGAATGGAAAGGTAATACAACTGTGAAACTAAACCAAGGTCATTTTTATATTTTACGAATAGATTTGCAGATTTGAGCTAAAATTGTATTAATATTCACTAGTCACAATTGTAAGGTATTTTGCTACTCCAATTCAATGTATGTAAATATTTAAGTTCATATTTATTTGCATTATAATAATCTAGTTGAAAAAGACATTCAAATATGATGTTATTTAATGCTACCCCATTTTAGAAGAAAAATATTTTTAGCTATTTTTTGGCGAGGTAACACCTTTCTTTAAAAAAAAAAATAATTATAGAAATCGGTTAACGTGGCCCAAAGTTATGCGGTAACATACATAAAACAACAAATAAAAATTAAAAAAAATATCCGACAAATTGATAACCTTCTCCTTTTTGTGAAGTCGGTTAAAAATTAAATATGTAATTTAAAAATTTCGTGAACTAAGTAGTAACAAACACACCGAAAGTAACATACGACAATTTTTTATCCAGGCGACGATATGTAGTTATGTATATCAATATTATATCTAAAAGCGTTTGAAGATCTCAAAGTTCACATACCCCTTCGCCTCACAACCTCACAACTGTGTGTGCCATTCGTGTTGCGCATGAATGCATGATTATGCCGCTTGTCTTTGTAGTAGCCCTGACGCTCCTGCTCGCCGAAACGATCCCACGCCAACTCTTCAACAATCACATTCGACTCTGCGACTAGATCATACTCTTGCAGAAAATGTTCGGTTAGTGTCAGCGCAAATTCCTCGGGTGTGTGTAGTCCGTGTTTTTGTGCATGCACGTAGATGGTATTTTCCTGTACATCACTGCCGATAATATCCGAATTGTCGGCTTAGAAAATGATAAGTAAAATTAGATTTGCTCTCTTGTGTGGCACTTTTCAAGTCCTTGTTTACTTATGTACCTCCATAGTATTCCTTATGTGTGCGCAATCGCATATGTGATTGCACTTTATACTCGGTCACACTGTGCAGTGGCCCATCCTTCTTTAGCTGAAAGACACGCACTCCTTCTTTGCCATAACTGTAATCGCCGAGCCGATAATTTGGCGCAGCAGGATCGGGCATTGTTGTGGCTTTGGTAGGATCAGCATTATGTAACTTACGCGTAAACATCTTGCAGATTCAAATTCAGTTTTTTTTTAGATTTAACGCCAAGTACTTGACTTTGTGAGAACGCAGGCAAAACTGCTTAGCAGCGCGTTTTATACAAAGCCTTTTATTTCTAGCTAATCTTTTTTTTTATCTGCTTATTAGAGATACTACATATCTACATACATACATATATATGTGCTTACATATACACAAATGAATGCATACTAAAAATTTCTTCGTCTGAATGTTATATATCACAAATGGTTTAAGAGCACAGGCCTGAGTTTTTGCATCAGCGGCACTCTGTCGCCAGGTATCTTGGCCAAGACACAACATACGTGCACTAAGGGCAAGTCCACAGATACTGCACTACACTCGTTAGTAAAACACATTGAGAAAGCATTTGAATTCAAGTATTTCTGATGAAGCTATTAAATATGAATATCATCGTATCAGTAGGCACTATCTCGTTGTGGATTAAACATACTTTTAGGCCACGGTAAAATAAGAGCGGAATGGAACGACGCTAGGGTAGCCAGGCAAGCATGCAGAGTCACACTGCAAGGTGGTGCACTCTCACCACTATTATGGCTAATAACGGTCCAAAAATTAGTAAAGGAATTCGAGGGGAAATCACAAAGACTAGTGGCATATCCAGACGACATAACCGTAATAGTAACAGGGAAATACCTATGTAGGTACTTTTAGTAACGTGATGAACCGTGCCCTGAAAGTTATTGACCTATGGGAATTTCGAGCGGGGCTAGGGGTTAACGTAAACAAAACGGACATGATTCTTCACAGAAAGATACAAGACACCAGTGTAGAGGCTGTTGCACTGGGATGCGCAAAATAGGCAACAAACAGGACGAAGACAGTAGATCTGCTTAACAAGTCAGATAGATTTATTAAGAATTGTAGCAATCATTATGGATTACCGGCCCCCAGGCGAACATGATGCGATAATGTGATTCCCATATAAAAGAACTCGCCGCAGCTGTCAACTGTGAAGGTAGCAAAGAAAGTGTCCAGCATTTCCTTCGTGAATGGCCGGGCCTAGCGGCTATTAGGAAAATTGCGTTAAACGCGCTGTTTGTATTAGTTGCGATCCCGTACGAGTCCGGACTAGTCAGAATCAGTCAGATTTTACTGGAAATCGATCCCGTACTCGGTTCTCTGACTATTGAGAGGACAAAAAAGAGAGTAAATACGGTTCTCTCTCTGTCAGAAGTTACCAGTTTTAGTTTTTTGCTGGTAAATTCTGGTAAATGTGTCAAACGAGCAGCTGTAGTGTGTTTGGCAACCAAATTGTAAACAAAAGAAAAGTGCACTCTGCTAATTCATGTTGAAAAGTATTTAATTATTTGTTTAAGTGGATTCTAATGAATTTGAAAGTATTTTTGGTTATTTACATGTGTGAGCTGAGTGTGTTTACATAAAAAATAAGCAAAAATTTACAACCAAAATGTTGAGGTTATGTTGAAGTTGACAGAAGTTACCATTTTTTACTAGAAAGCGATCCAGTACTTCTCAATGTTACTCTCTCGCTCTGAGCGAATTTTTATTTTTTGACAGTTTTACTCGTCCGAGTCCGAGGAATACGGGATTGCACCTATTATTTATGTTACTTTGAAGTTTGAACTACACCAACAAATCAACCAACTCAACTGCAACTTTACTAGACGCAATTTCGGGCCCTAGTCTCTCTGCCTAACCAAGAAGAAAAAATCTTTCCTGCAGGTCGCACCGTGAATAGAATAATCTTAGAGACGCTAGATATACTTGATTTAAACGGCTTTCCAGCCGCGCCGGAGAGTCGACATACCGAAGAGGCCCTGAGTAGTATGGAGAACTATTTAGGCACGATCATAATGTTTGCATTTTTTGTTTATTTTTCAAGCTATGCACTTTTTATAGAAGTTTCTTTAAATACACGCACTGACCATGTTAACTGCAAAGCAAGCCACAAGCATTCAGAAGCTATGTACAATCAGGACGTACGGCATGCGGCCACATCTTGTCCATGGAACGTTTTTGTATGAACGGAATTCTAGCTCTGTCGGGACTAGATACGCTTGGCAATTTCTGCCTTACAGCAGCGTCTAATTGCGTGCAACTTTCCTAGATATCCTGATGTTAGCGCCAGCGCATGCCTAGGTCTATGGCTGGACAAGTCAACAGTCAATGCTTCATACCCGTATTCCTCGTAGGACTTGCCGCATTGCGTGTTGGACTCGATCCATTTCGTGTCAGACTGTAGGCCTTCTGCGCTGCTGGATTTGCTGATTTTGTCGGTAAATATGACGTCTTCAGTATAGATTGTGGAGCGGTCGTTTTAGTAGGGAGAATGACAGACTTTCGCAGCGGCATTGGATCAAACTTTTGCGGTCTTGGAAACATTTTAGATTTTCCTAAATTATTACTGTTTGCGATCGGTCGCTCTGTTAGTCTCCTTAGTGATATATCCAATTTGTTACCTAAATCTCGTACATGTTCACGCATCGCTTGTACCTCCATAGCGATGGCGTGTTGATCGCGTTGTAAACGCTGATTGTGCATGAGCATATCTTCTAGAATTCTCTTCTGTGCTCTAACCTCGAGTATGCGCTTCTGACTAACTGGATCATTATAATCGGTTATTTTAAGGACATTAGGACGCATGCGTTGTTGTTGTTTATGAGCACGCAACGCCTTTATTTGTGGTATGGATGTGGCTTTCAGTGATGAAGTCAGTTTTGGAGAAATCGTTTTCGCATCGGGTGTGGCTTCAACCTGTTCTGGTTTTACTATAGTAGGATTTTTTGCTGAAGTTTCTGCGACGCCGCTGCTCAGCTCCTCTGTTTGCAACTCTGGGATTTTGGGTTGTTTCAGTTTTCGAATTTTTTGATCTAGCACAATAGAAGGAAGGAAAACATTTTATTTTAGTTTAAAACAAAGAGAACAAAGAAAACAAAAATGTCCCCTCCCCTCGGATTTATTTATTCATCCATGTACATACTTACGTACTTCTTAGTTTATTATGCACTGTCGCCACAATGCTATTGAAGGATGTGCTCATTTCTGAGCGCGTGCGCGGTTTCTCCTCAACCATTTTTGGTTTACCCGCTATAACCAGTGGACTAAAATATGTTCCAACGGCTGCCGGAACTCCTTCAAGCTGTCGACCGACCATGTTTGGTAAATTTAAACTATTTAAGTTAAAATCGGTTGTTATGTTCCTCTTTGTTTATTGTTTTTTTTGCGATAGTTAAAGGTGATTTTTATTTGTTTTTTATTTAAATAAACCAAAAGTATAAATTTGTACTTAAAATTTAGAAGCTTCAGCGAAAGTGAAGAATATTAATTTTATTTTTTTTTTATTGTGCTTGAAAATTAAATCATGGTGTAATGATAGGATTGATATTTTTGTTTTTGCTTGATAGTTGAAAACTTATTTTATTTCCTCGTTTATCGATGAAAGAATAATTTTGTAATCGATAGTTGTACCAAATTTAAAAAAAAAAGTAAGTTGGGGAATAATAGGTAAATTCTGGCTGAGACAGTTGAAAGTCTTTTGCCAGACAATTGAAAGACATTAGGCAAGATAGTTTGAAAGATTTCGTTTACAGGGCAATTCTGCCTACTCTGTTAAAAGCTCTTCACTGTCTTTCGAATGACTAATTGAAAGATCTGCGAACGAGGAGGTCTTAGCGTTATGGTCTTCGCCATTTAGCAATAAGTTTTTTTTTTTAATAAAATTAAATAAAAGACACATATACTATATATGTACATACATGTTTCTCTTTTTAAAACAATAAAAAGTGATAAATAAAAGAAAATTTAATTTACAAAATTAAAATAAACCAAAAATATAAAATTGAATTAAATTAAAATAAACTCTTTTTGTTCTTAAACAATCAAATCAAAAATCTAGAAAAAGAAAGAAATTAAATCAAAAATAAGAATATACTACTTAAAAGTTAAATATTAAACAAATATTTTTATTTTTACAAAAAAAAAACCAAAAACCAAAAGAAAATTTAATTTAAAAATTACAAAAAAGTAAAATAAAAAATAAAATAAGACCCTAAACATCAACTGAAATAAAAAAAAAAATACATTTTTTCTTTTTAAAACATTTAGATCTAAAAAGATAAATAAAATAACTTTCTAATAATAAAATTAAATTGACCACATGCTTTTCTTTTTTGAACAATAAAATCTAAAAATTTAAAGAAAACTAATTTGAAAACGAAAAAATTTAACTGAAAGAGTAAAAATAAAATAAGTTCCTAAAAATTAAATTTAAGTCGAAAAAATTGAATTTAATAAGTAAAAATGAAATAAGTTCCTAAAATTTAAATGAAATTAAAAAAATATATTCTTCGATTTAAAACAATAACATCTTAAAGTTAAGAGAAAACTCTAAAAATTAAATGAAATTGAAGAATTTTTTTTATTTTTGTTATGTTTATCCGATCAGAAGATGCCAAATATCTAGCGAAACGTAACAAATATAAAATTTTTTTGTTCTTAAGTAAATTAAAACAAAAAGGAAGAAAATACCATTAAAAGTTTAATATTTAAAAAATACTTTTTATTTTTACAACATAATCTAGAAATTCAAAGTAACTAAATTAAAGAAGACAACAAAATGCAATCAAAAATTAAGGGTAAATGAGACCTTTAAATTAAAGTTAAATAAAAAAACATTCTCTTTAAAACGATTAAATCTAAAGAATAAATAAAATAACTCTGAAGATAAAATGAAATTAACAAAATATTTTTCTTTTTTGAAAATTAAAATCTTAAGATAAAAAGAAAATTAAACTTAAAAACGAAAAAAAAATTAGTTAAAAAGCAAAATTAAGTAAGTTCCGAAAATTAAAAGAAATTTAAAAAATATATAACAGGGCAATTCTGGCAGGGCAATTTTATTAATAAAATTTTAAGATCTTATTGATTTATAAAAAAAAAACACTGTGTCTTAATTTAATTTAATTTTTATAAACATAATTCTTTTTTATAATATATAATCTTTTTTCTTTTTTAAATTAAATTTTCTTTTATTTTATAGATTTTGTTTTAAAAAGCAAAATACTTTTTTAAAATCATTTAATATATACGAACTTATTAAATTTTTTCTTGCTTTAATTTTAAATTTTTTTTTTAATATTGAGATTATATTATTTGAAAAAGGAAAAATATATATTTTTTTTAATTTCATTTTTGAGGAACCTATTTTATTGTTTTATTGTATTTTTTTATTTAGATTTCATTGATTAAAAAACATATTGTTTTAATAAGAATTTAATTTTTTGAAATTTATTTTATTCGTTTTTTTTATTCAATTTTCCTTCAGTTTTAAGTTCTTAATCTTTTAAAAAGAAAAGTATATGTACATTTTTTTAATTTCCTTTAATTTTTAGAAAACCTATTACTAAAAGACAATCAGACAAAAGGTCTCACGCCCTCGTTGGCAGATCTGTCATTTAGTATGTATTTCGAAAGAAAGAAACAGCTTTCAAGATAGTTGCCAAAATTGACAATTGCTCTTCGAAAGACAAAGAGACAGTTGCCAGAACTGCTCTGCAAAGGTCATTAAGAGAGCTTGTACATATGCTAGTAGCAGGGCAAATTCCCGTTTCACGAAATAAATACCCGAAATGCCCCTGAAGTAATCCAATAATTCGTGCTGAAATGGTCCTGAACTGATTTTAAATTTAAAACAACTTAATGCAACACCTAATGTTTTTTGTTTTGCCGTAATCAGCATTTTCTGCAAGACAGTGTAGTCACGGCATTAATCCATTGTAGATGCAACCCTGATTTTTGCACTGTGACAAATAAAGGTCGTGTCAGATGTGGCAATATTTCCAACTTGTGTATGCATTTCGCTGTCGAATTGAGAAAGCGAAATTTTATTTCGGCGTGTGATCAGCCAGAAAGAACTTTTTATCACCGAAAAGTGTGAAAAGCCAAAGAGCGTATTCATAAAATTTTCCGTCAATTCGGTTTTCGGTTTGCAAGGTGTGACCGCTCATGTAATTGCTTTTTGAAATATCTCAATTTGGTAGCCTTTTCGAAATATTTTTGTCTTGCCACGTCTAACAGCACTTAATGAAAAACAAAGCTACCTGGCAAAAAAATAAAAAATGGAGAAAACTGTCAAAAATTTTACAAAAACGTGTAATGCGGAAGCGTCTGGGTTTATAATAGGTTTTTTTATTATTTTAATTGCTTGAAAATCGCGTATATTAAATAATTTATACATCAGAAAGCGGCAGCGTCTATTTAGTCACAAAAGAAAATATGGGATCCTCAAAAAAACACAAGAAACACAAATCTGAACGACGTGAAAAATATGAAGGTTTACATTATTTTTAAAGTCTTATTTTAATCCTTTTTCGTGATTAAACCCATATTTATTACAGAGTATAGCAATAATATGGACCCTTCACAGCTGCAGCGCGGCTTGAAACTAATTTTGAAAGTAGGCTCAAATTCCACACCTGAATACAGCGGTGGTTCGCCGCTTGCGGGTCCACCTACTGCAGCAGAGGCAATGATGTCTGCTGCGCCAAGTAGTCCTGTAGCTGATGACCTTCCGCCAGCGGAAGAGTATTATGGTGAAAAGCATAAAAAATCTAAGAAGAAGAAGAAAAAGAAGGATCGTGAAAAGAAACATAAACACCATAAAGAAAAACGTCACCGCAGCGAGCGTCATGAGCAGACTAGTGGTGGCGAAAGACGCGATGCTTCTGTCGAGGTGCCAAACGAAGATATTAAGCTGGAAGATATACCACCGGCTACGATTTCGACAGTACAACGCAGCCCGAGAAATGTGGCGCCTCCACCTGTAATAGATGGTGATTCCAGCCAAGATGGTTTCAGCTTTATGGAAGATGGCGATTCACAGCCATTACCGGAGAATATACTGCTGTATGCTGGCATAACCACAGATAATTCGCCATCTTGTCGTCCGGTCTCAAAGCCCATTGTACCACGAAAAACTGAGGATATGCTACTAGATTCACCGGCATCATCATCGTTACAATCTTCATCTTTGGGTGTGGGTGCTTTAGGAGTTAGTAGTCCAACCAAACCTTTGCCTGATGTAAGTGCTACAAGTTATTTCGGTTGTGCTATTGAATGTATTTTTTAATTATCGCTTTTTGTAGCTTCTCATTCCGTCGCCATCAGCTTCGACTGCAGCTTCCACACCGGGTGGCACAAGTTCTTTAGCGGCACTTACACCGAAACAATTAGAGGCACCAAAAACGCCAAGTTCATCAAGCGAATCTGGCCGTGAACCTCGCACTTGTGTACTTAAGCTTAAACAACAAAAATCGCCTCTGAATAAGTTATTAGATCATTTACTACGTTTTTTGGAAAAAAGAGATCCCCACCAATTCTTTGCTTGGCCTGTCACCGATGATATAGCTCCCGGCTATTCGTCAATAATTACTAAGCCTATGGATTTCTCAACAATACGTCAAAAAATAGATGATAGCGAGTACGGTACTCTGACAGAATTCACCGACGATTTTAAATTGATGTGCGAGAATGCTATCCGTTATAACCATGTTGATACTGTTTATCATAAAGCCGCCAAACGGCTACTACAAGTGGGCAGCAAGCATCTCTTGCCTGAAAATCTTTTGCGTAGCCTGAAACCGTTATCCGGCTACTTGCGTGATTTGACTGCGAAAGAACTTGGTTTTGATTTACATGGAGATTTTGGTAATTATGACCATCATGGCACAATTGACTCAGCAGATGAAGGTGCTTCCACCGGTGCAGAGGAACAAACTCCAGCGCAGTTGGAAGAGGAAGAGAAGAGACGTGCCATTCGTTTAGAGAATGAACCGAAGACCCGCTTTGAACCATATGTGGATGACCTCACCTCAGAAGAGATATTAGCGCAAGTGCAAGGCGCAGCACGGGCTGCTAAGAAGCGGTTGTCAGCAAAAGAAAAGGCACATAAGATGGGTTTCTTGCGGCAGAACAAAGATGGGACGACCTCTTTGAACGTGCTACTTAAAGAAGAGAATGAAGGGCCAGAAAAGGTTGTTAGTCTTGGCGAATTGGTAGGTAAATTGGAATCAGGATCAGGACAACTATATTACTCGTGTGAGGACAAACGAAACGAAGCGAAAATGGTGAAGCCACTTAATTATGGTGCTTTTGCATCTTTCGCACCTAGCTTTGATTCACGTTTCTCTAATTTAAGCCGAGAAGAAACGCAGTTGGTTATGAGAACATATGGTAAGCGAAAAAAATGATTTATAAAAAAGTAGTTCTCTTTACTAAAAAACACTTTTCATTCTCAAAGGGGATGCTACAAGCACAGAGTATGCTGAGAGCATTTTAGAATTTACCAAGGATTCCAATTATGCATCCATGCTAGCCAATGGCCTATTAGACATACTCACTAATGGTGAACACAGCAAAGCAATGTCCGATCTTTATGATATGCAAGTACAAAATCATGAGCAACATGAAGTATTCAAGTGCTTTAGTGCATCCGGCGGCTTTGGTTGTCTTCAAACGGTAACTCCCACAGCATCGGAAACTCGCGAGCAAATCGAGGAAGAATATGAAAAGTACAAAAATACTCGTATTGATTTCAATCGTTTACGTACACTCAAAGATCTTGGCATAGATATAGAATTTCTGGATAATATCGAAGCGGAAATGAAAAATTTCGAATTGACTCGCCGTCTGCAGGAGCATTTAAGCAACAATTTAAATTTAATAGAGAAGTTGCGCGCTACGCAACACGAGCGACTTTCACAGCCATTGCCGCAGCACTTGGCTTTCGTACCGCAAGCTAGCGCCGAAGAACTGCATCTGGCGCATCAAATTAGCCAACAGCTCGGTGATGTTGCAAAGAAATTGCCGCCGTCAGCTGTGGTTGATCCCTATAGTCTGCGTAAAGCAATGGGCATGTCAAATGGTGAGTAATTTTTTTATTCGTTGCTGCAACTGTTTTATTTACATATATTTATTTATATTTTTTTTTTTATTCCCCATTTAGTGGGTCTGCCACCGCCGCCACCACCAACTACCCAACGCGTGCCCTTGCCCGAGGTGCTTCAACAACCAGTGTCATTGCCGCCGTTACAGCTAGGATCTCAAAACTCAACTCTAAATATTTCAGATGAAAATACAGCAGCTGCAGCTCTGCCCATGGAAATAGATGATGAAGAGTTGCGCGAAATTTTAGAGAGCGGCAACAGCGACATGCATGCATCTACAAACGCAGATGAAAATCCTTGGTTATAGAGAGTTAACCACAGAAAATTAATTAATTTTTATTATAATTTTATTATTTCATTATACAGTAAAACCCGCTTAAGTACCTAACCCGCTTAAGTAACCAACATTTTTGGGCAATATGAATTTTTGAATGTAATCTGAAGAAAACCCCTCTCTTAAGTACCTCCCCGCTTATTTACCCAACCCGCCTAAGTACCTAAATTTTTCGTACCCCATTTACCACTTTACCTATAATTTTCCCCTTTTAAGTGCTCTTTTAAAATTCCTTAAAATATTTACATATTTTGAAATTCTTTGGCAGCGTACACACCTTCGGCAAAAAAATTATAAAAAATTAACGGCAATTTTTAGCCACTTGAAACTAGCACATTGTTACACTAAAATTTAATGGGCTATAAAACTGTATTATCAAAAAACATTTCAGAGAAAAAAAATTTTAAATTTTGGTGAATTTTTTTCTTTAAGTGGTGTATAAAATCTTAAGCTTAGGCTTATATGGTATTTGTTAGGGAATGAACTGTGTTTTAATTGAAAACTCTTTAATAATGCTACGGCTTGGTTTTAAACTCCGTATATATAAATAAAAAAAAATAAATAAATAAATAAATTAAGTACCCGCATCGAGGTACTTAAGCGGGTTCTTTTAAGTACCCAACCCGGGTTTTACTGTATTGCATTTATTATAACCTATTATTGTAATTAAACTTGCATTCAAAAATAAAGGCTAAACGCTTTCCCTATTATTTTAATTAATGTGTTTTCAATAGGTTTGTTCAAGATCGGGGCAACAATGAAATGTAAACGGTTGCCATCGTTCCCACAACAGTTGAGTCTACGTAACCGAAACGACCCAGATTTACAGCAACACCCACTCGCACTCTATCAGTATTTAATTATAAGGACGCTGAATTTAAAAATATTTCCCAAATAATTTGACAGACTTTGGTGAACGTGGTAGGGTTAATAAATCTTATCGACTTTCCATTATTGCTATCGATCATTTGTTGATACGGTGATGCAATCTCTATTAAAAAGAGCACGTTTTGTTTTCACGTTTTAGTTATTGCTCCTGGTTTATAACTTAGACACAATTTAGGATTTCACGTGATTTCCACCGTACTAACTTTGCTAGGGAAGTCGTAAAGCCGTTAAACTATTCACCAACATCCTCAACAAAACCTGCTATGGACAAAGAGATTGACGCTAGCAAAAGTGTGCTCATGGAAGATCCTCAAGGGAGTGGTATCAAGGTGCTAGACCAAACTGTGTTATCGGCGCTTCTCAAAGAAGGTAATATTTCTTTATATATATTTACGCGGAAAACCATCTAACCAACGCATGATTCAGATATCAACACAGATTTGCAAAATGCGCCAAGTGAGGACACAGGTGCCCTGAAAGCGTGTGTGACACCGGAAGTGGCGAATGTTACTAAGGAAGTACTATATGAGGAGACTACTGATTGCGAAATGGCAAAAACAGATTCGAGCACACTGGTAAAGTGTGTAGCACCGGAAGTGGCGAAGGTTGCTAAGGAAGTACTAGGAGAGGGGGCTAATAACTGCGAATCGCCAAAAACGGACACGGGCGCACTGATAGAATGTGTAGACCCGGTAGTTACGAATGATACTAGGGAAGTACTAGCTGAGGAGACTTATGATCGCGAAATGGCAAAAACGGACACGAGCGCACCGGAAGTTGTAAAGATTAGTAAGGAAGTACTAGGAGAAGAGAATAATGATTGCGAAATTTTAAAAACGGAAACTAGCCCCCTGGTAGAGTGTATAGCACCGGAAGTGGCGAAGGTTACTAAGGAACTACTAGGTGAGGACACTAGTGATTGCGAAATGCTAAAAATGGACACAAGCGCACTGATTGATTATGTAGCACCGGTAGTGGAGAAGGTTACCGAGGAAGTTTTATGTGGGGTATCTAATGAGTGCGAAATGAAAGCAGCGTCAATTATGTACGTGCCCAGCTCAATAGAAGAAATCCAGAAAACCAACAATGCTGAAAATCATGCAAAAATTTCCAATAAAGAAGTGGTAGTAATTGAATCCGTTATTCAAATCGTTCCGGCCAGTGATGATTTAGACCACAAAACATCAGCATTAGAAGTGGAAGCGATGGCTAAGCCCAGTTCCGATGCTATAGTAATAGTTGATGGAACCGATGCTGGGATGGCGCCGGACACAGATGTTATCGAAGTTATGGATATAACGCAAACAGAAAAGAGTGTCATATCAAATGGAAAGCGGTTGATGCCAGCCAAAGGTATAGTATAACTAACTTATTTATTGGGGCCAACTATCATTTCATTTAGTTAATCTTATCTTTTCAGCTACATCATCTAGCCTTGGTTTGCTCTCACAATACGGCTCCGATTCTGATGAAACGATATCGAGCGAGTCGGAAGCTGAGTCAGTAGTCGAGGTACCTGTAGCAGCTATTAACAAAACTTACCGCTCTCAGATTGTTGAAATTGAGTCCGATTCCAGCGGGACCATATCCTCGGAATCTGATTCGGAAACTGAGTCGGAATATTTAACAAAAATTGCAAAACACATCAACAAGCGTATTGAGGCCGTTGATGATGAGAATAATGATGATGATGGTGATGAAGATGATTACGAGGATAACGACGGTAAAGAAACCAAAAATCGCGTTCGCCGTCAGCCGCCGCGGGTACGAGGCGAAATGTTACTTGACGATTTACCACCTATTCAGGACCTACAGATATCAATGCCCGCCGAAGAGTGTATTGAATTTGGTCGGGTGCATTCCATTGTAGATCAATTGTTACTGGTAAGCGCATTGCCAAACGCGATCTTACTGGATTTGGAAACTGTACTCTTTTTAGAACAAGGAAAACGCGTGCTGGGCGTTGTGTTCGATGTGTTGGGTCAAGTAGCAGATCCACTGTATTGTGTGCGTTTTAATACAAATCAACACATACACGAGAAAGGTATAAATATTGGAGATGTGGTTTATGTAGCGCCCAAATCGGAGCATACACAATATGTAATACTTTCAAGTCTTACGAAAATGCGTGGGTCTGATGCATCATGGGAGAACGATATAGAACCGCCACCGCGGTATATAGATTACTCAGATGATGAGGAGGAGCGTGAAGCACGCCATAAATTACGCAAACATCGGAGGCAGAGTATTAAGGAGGAGGATGAAGAAGACAAAGACGATGATGCTGATGCTGATGCGGATGATAAGGATAAAGATCCGATGAAACGAAGTCGGTTAAGCACAGCCTTTGAGGGAAATAAACAAAGGCGGGAACGGCCCAGCGGTAGTAGGCGAAACGATCTATCTGGAAATTATCAAAAGAGGCAAGAACGTTTTGGATCACAATCGGGGTATACACCGCGCAGCTATCATCAACAAAATACCAGCAGCTGGCACTCGCATTACAATCAACAATATCACCCCAGACCGCCACCCACGCATGTCTACCGTTCACCATACACTGCTCCATATCAGTACCAACGACCTCAGTACCACACACCACCACCTCGCTTTAATCCATATGTACATCCTCCTATGCCAGCGCCAATGTCAATGTCAATGCCAATGCCAACAGCACAGGGACAGTTGGCACCGCACATGGAGCACCCACCACCGCAAATGACACCACCGACTCAGATGCATTCAATGCCTCCGCCAACACACATGACGCCACCAACTTCGATGCATTCAATGCCGCCGCCAACACACATGACGCCACCAACTTCGATGCATTCAATGCCACCGCCGCATATGCCTCCACCATCCACAGCTATATATGTGCCAAGTCCTTATGCTTTTCGACCATCAACAGTATCGCCTCAAACACAAATGCAACAGCCACAAATGCAACAGCCACAAATGCAACAACAACAACAGATTCAGCGGCAAGGTCCGATGCAAAACACAAGCACGGCAGAACCATCGCCACCAGGTGCGGATTGAGAATGAGTTAGCTGAGAAGTTTTAATTATTTAGTACCTTTTAATAAAGTTACGTGTATAGATTGAATATTACTCACTGTTTCAAAAATAAATATTTTTAACTTTGAGGTTTCATTGTAAATGGTATTCGCATGAATTTCGAATTGGTTTAAAGACAGCACAACGCCGAAACCGATTTGTCTGCAAACCAAACTTGACAAGGGATAACGGAAATTCGTTCCGAAATAAATCATCTTACCACCCTGTCGAAAAAAATCAACCAACACCAATACAGCATTTTTTCGTTATTTTGCTTTACTTTAATTTTAATCTTATACAACTGTGGTAAAAATATTAAAATTTTTTACTATACATTTGTGTAGGTACATAATTGAAGTGGGCAAAACTGGATACTTTTGTGGTGTTAGGTGTATTACATATTTACTTTGATTTAACATACAAACATTTTTCTACGAGTACTATGTAAAGCCTTAAGATTAATTTGATCAACATAAATCTGCTTTGAACAACAATTAGCCATTATAATGTAAATGTGTAACAAATAGAAATTTTAACGCACTTGCGTTTTTCATATATGTATGTCATAGTGCATTTGTATGCAGAAATGTGTATGTGTGTATGATTACCATAAAAAAAAAAGTTACATCCATTTAAAATTTCGCGTCAAGTTGATAAGCTACAAACTAAATTCGATTTGCTTGGATTTAAAAGTGTTTAAATTTTTATATAGGTATTTATTTTTCTAATCTTGCGCTAGCGTTAAAATTACATTGTAATATTTTTACTTGTGTAAATATAAACCTGTGTTTATAAAAATTTGAACTTTTATTGAACGCGTTCGTCTGTTGAGCAATGAAAATATTTGCAAATGTATACTAATTTGCTGCAGGCACAAATATTTAACAATGCGGCATCAATTAGCACTTGGAAGCGTACATAGTATACATATATAGCCTATTTACAATAACCAAAAACAAAGGTTAACTCGTTAAGCTGTAAAGCACTTTGTTAATTGCTATAAAGAATTTGGTTGTGTAGAAATAAAATCTGCTAAATATGGTATGCTATTATATTAATTTGCCGATATCCCTAAAATATAGTTAGCATCTATTTATGTTTATACTTTTGTTTGCAATAATTTAAGTTATGCGCTTTTAAAATTTTCCACAATATCGAGACGTCTTTTCAAAAATACAATAACTACTGTAATATTGTCTTGGGAGTCGCCTTCTTTTGCCAATTCTATAAGAATTTTCGGAATGTTTTCAATTTTTTGCTCTGCATCAGCCAAGATCTTGTAAATTGTGTCTACCAATTTAGCTTCGGATACGTGATCGAATAGTCCATCTGTACCCAAAACGATGAAGTCATGCGCCGCTGTCAGCGACACGTCTACAAAATCCGGCTCTGCAATTGCTGGGGTCACGGAATAATCGCCAATGGAGCGCGATACATTCAAAATGCCATTAACACGCCATTGCCCTTGAACGTACATAACCGTTCCACCACTCTCCGCCATTTCGATCCTCTTGCGTTCATCGGGCGCGTCTGGTTTATGTGGTTTAACTAATTGTAAACTTACCGTGGGACTAACTAGTAATGCTTTCGAATCGCCTACCCATGCGACATATAAATGCCCATCAAACGATGGTGGTTTGCGTTGTGCCAATAGCATACAAACCGCAGTTGTACCACTGGAAATGCCTTTTTGTGTGAACATTTTATCTGTTTGTAAGAAGGAATGCTCAAAAGCTTCGCGATAAGATTTTACATCATCCAGCTCATCGGTTGTGGTTTTCAAGCTTTCGGCTAGTAGGTATGGCAGTTGGCTTGTTGCGTAACTGGCCGCCAACGGCCCTGAATGACCATCGAATACACCATAAAAGCTGTACGGTTGCTTTAATTCATATAAATCACTGAAGCGCTCTAAACAAACATGTCGATCCTCCATTTTACGTGGCTTATTTTTAATGTGACCCACTGTGTAAGCAGTTGGAAGCGGTGATACAGCAATATGGCAGGTACATTTCGAACCATCTGCGCACAGTGCATCTTTTTCTGCATAATTTTGCAAATTGCCTGCCTCTGTATTATCCGTCAAACGGGTGAGTAACTTTTCCAAATTGTTCACAACATACTTCTGTAGTTTTACCAAATCATAAACGATGTCCGTATCTGTTGCTGTTTTCGGTTTGTTTTGATCTTGTTTTCCGCTGGCGTTGAACTCACATTCCTTGGCATTACGGCACCCTTCTTCAACTTCTGCGGCAACAATACGCAATATGGGTAATTGGAAAAATCGCGGACATTGCTTTAATTGAAGATGATTCCATACGGACATAATTATTTCAGCGGGCACTTCCTGTGAGCGCACCGGATATGTTTCATTACTGCTACGGGAAATGCTGATACGCGTTGGTTCACCGGCGCTTGCAGCATTATTCACTGATTCTCGTACTAAATCACTCAAGAAACCTTTAAATTCTCTCAATCTAGCGCATTCCATCGACTGCGACGCAGTTGCGACAGCAGGTACTTTCTCCGACATTCCTTCACAGAGCCCCAGATAAATTCACAAGCTAACTTCTCGCGTTGTTGGATATTGGTTAACTTTTACGATTGCTGTTTCTGTTATAAGCGTTTATAAGTACATTATTTTTAAAATTGTATTTGTTATTACTGTGCGATTATAAACTACGTAATTTATTATTTGTTTTTGCTCCAGCATCTCCAAAATCAAGGGACATTCCCGCACACCCAGCTGATTAAGCTTAACGATAGCTAATAGATATCGATAGCAGAGTCTCGATGAATCACTAATCGATTTAGTAATTTTTCCCCTTTTTAAGATTATCTTTTAATTAATTGAGACTTAAAGATTCTTAACAAAATCCTTCTGTAGCAGTGTATGCTTGGTGTTCCAATTGGAAAATTGCTCACCGATGAGAATGTCGTCAACGAAATAATTGATGCCCTTCTATGGAGAAGGCTGGCATTATGGGGAATCACTGAATTACTTTTAATGAATAAACGTGGACTTTGTAATTTTTGCCTGCCGAGGGATGACCGCTGTTAAGAAAAAGCCTTTTTTCTATATTTTTTTTGCGATGTTGCTTTGACCAGGGTTTGGACCCAGGTGCTGCGGAGTGGAAGCCACCACCTGCGCTTTCCACCTGCGCAGGGATCTAAACTATAAGCAATATGTAATAACTGCACCTCTCTAAGAAACCAAACACTTCTCAACAAGTTCTTTTGCTGGTGTAATCTTAATCATATATTTTTGAATTACATTTAATTTAATAGTAATAATAATGCTTCCTTGGTAAATATCATAATCACTCATCCAATGTTATATGCAAATTTGCCGAAGGATGCAAGCCCAATTCCTTTATAGTAGAACAATCATGTTCCGCCTCAAGCATTTTTCTCGGGTACGCACAAATCAATTTATATGTACCGCCATTCTTGATAACATGCGAGTGTTTTTCGCCTATATATAGCCTCAGCACTTTCAAGAGTGTATCTGATGGCCAACGTAGTTGTACCACTTCATCATTGCCTTCGGCATTAAGTAAACGCAATCTAATCGCAGTCAGTTCATTAGTGGCTTGACCAAGTTGTTTTTCATAGGGAATATTCGTTTGATTATAAGCGCTCTTGCTATCCTCATCGCCAAATTCTTCCGCTGACTCAAATTCACTACTATCATCGGCGCCGCCATCTTCATTGTTACCAGTATTTTTGGTTTTACTTTTACCATTTGTACTACTACTTTCGCGCATAGAATTTCGTATGGCTAAATTAATTTGCTCTTCTTCGGTAAGATCAAGTAATTTAAGGCGCTTCTTTTTTTCAGCGCTATTCTCGGCTTCTTGCTCATCATCTGACAGAGTTATAGTACGTTTGGAAGTAGATGGACTATCGTCGGATGCATCATCTGAGAATTCCTTGTGCTCACTTATAAATTCTCGCAAACCGGAAAGCACATTTGACTCTTTGGGATCATTGCACTTCCACATCTCTTCGCCAGTACGTGGATCAACCACACACACATATGGCAAATTCGCACAGTGATAAAATGTTACAAATCTGCGACCTTCAGAGGTATCAGCATCGATCTGCAGTAAGTATATATTTTTTACTTTTCATGTAAACGCATACAGTAAATAAAATTGAAGAAATATACTTACTTGCCACAACAAAAAACGTCTTTTAATAACTTGACGCACGTCCTTGTTGGCCCACACATCACGATTGAGTACCTGTGAATTGAAATTGTCATCTTGAACATTCACCAAAAGCCAACGGCTCAGTGCTGTTGCACGTGCGCGGCCTGCTTGAAAGGTGCCAGCGAATGCAATATCGGTTGGCGGACGGAAAAGATCACCCAAACGAGAAGAAGTTGAAGGTTTCGAATCAGTCGACTGTGCTGTAGCAGCTGTTGTCACCATTGAAGCAGCGCGTGTACTAGCCCAACGTCTACCGTTAATACCATTTGATGTTGACGCTAGTCCAGATACATCTGCTTGCAGTTGCTCCTCCATTAGTTCCCCTTCGCGTGCAAAATCTCGAAAGGGGCATATTTTTACACGTTGATTCATGCGTTGCATGCGTCCCGTAGCAGATAATGAGGGCGCTGCAAGAAAATTATCATCCTCAGGTCCAATTAATTGTTCACGTCTTGGAGCAATGGGCGCTCGCACATTATCCTCATCATCGAAGGCATCTGGTACGGCGGCGCCATCACTAGTGGGAACTGTATCAGCAACTCCGCTGCCTTGCTCGAAATATAGCGCAACTGCTGATTCTACGTCGTTGTTGCAGGCACCCAGCAAATGTTTAGCCTCGTCCGAACTGGCACCCGTTACTTCAATCACGCGTTCCACTAGCTCATCGCTTGGTGTGGACATTTTAAAAAGGTATTGGCTGCACGTCTATTAGCAATCACACTGCCTTTTTATTGAAATAAAAGGTGAAAATTTTCGAAAATTCCTATTTAAAACAAGTTTACACGATTTTTACTAAATATGCAATTGCGAGTGCACGAAATGCTTTTTTCTGCTCTGTTTATTTGCTTTGACATTTCTCTCAATTTGTTTCCAATTTTTCTATTTTGCTGTCATCCTAATCGGGTTGGAACCAAAATGCATCACTACCGGAAACGGTTTGGGACCTTTCACTACAGTATTTCTCGCTTTATTGCACTTTAAAGTTGCCAGTTAACCCTTGACAAAGAAGGTAAATAGATTTACGTTCTTTGTGGCCACTGTAACCCTAGAAAACACAGCTAGTGTTCGCGTAAACAGACTAACCCTGGGATTCAGTAATTCAGTCTCATCTCAAATCACTAAATTTGAGATTAGCAATTAGTGACTATTTTTGTGACTTGAGACGATTTGGGTATTCAGAAGGAGAGTGTCACAATAAAATTATAGTTTAAAAAACTAAAACCTCCCTATTATAATTGCTGTTCGTACTGTCATCAGGTATGTAACTTGAGAATAGAAATCGCTGCATCTTTTAGGCGCATCAATATTACATAGTTACATCCCGAGCTAATAAAAGGAAGGTAAGAAGGTAATAAAAAGTTCACCAAAAATGTGTGGTGAAAGCAAACACAGACAATCAACTGATAGCAATCAATACAAGGTGGTGTTGATTGATCAGCTGATTGGATATTTTTGTCTCTACACTAGTACAGGAGAATGTCATCCAAGACGAAGTGGCGCAACTTTAGGATGTAAACAAAACGAAATGACGAAAATTATCTCCTATTCCCTTTCGGTTTGACATCCTCCTGTACCAAAAAGCAATAACAAAATACACGGGACTTTTACTTATATGCAATCACCACCACCACAATATAACCAGTAAACAACCTTCGGTGAATTTGGCGACTGCCTTCCTCGGGGATGAATATGCTAGGGATGAAATTATTGGTACAGACGCCTTCCAAGCACGCAGGGTTGCTTTTAAGAAGCAATAATAATTAACTCCAAATGGTTTCAAAAAGTATAGTGCAAAACTAAATTTATTGAATAATTCCACATAAAATGGTATACATAAATGACTCATTTTCTAAACGATTTAAATAAAACGCATTTTATAACCTTTTTTGTGCAAACGGCGTTTGCGAATTGATAGAAAAGTACTACGGATTGTAAATTTTTGTTAACTATGAGGTGAATGAAAATTTTCAACCCGGCCTGACGGTTTTGAAGAGTTTTTTTTGTTCTAATTTTATTACTAAGGCGTATAATAAATGCATGGCTTTTAGTTCTAGAAGAATAAAAGTCAGTAAAAACAAGTATTTTTTGTATAATTTCTGATTTTAATTGCTCAACTTTTGCACCAGAGCAACTGTCAAATATTTCCAGCACTAAAAAGTTACGAATTGGCACAGCAGAAAAGTAAAATTTTCTCGCCATAATAAAAAGTTTTTTCAACATGGAACTTTTCTACTAATTGACATGAAATTACTATCTCAACGTTCGGAGCGCTGCCACTGAGGGCCTTTGCCAACTAATAAAAAAGAGAAAGCTTGGAAAGACCAAACAAAAATTTTGAGATTTCTCGTTGTGAATACGAATGCCATAGTTTTTACCTAGCTCGTGGGACTACGCAAAATTTTTACAGCTTGTAAATATGTATACACATAAAGTTGTTGGCGGTTATAAACAGTCAAAATCAAAATGGAGAAAAGAACAAAAAGCGTACGTTAGTTGTCAGTTATGAAGTAAATCCAATTTATTTGCGAATATTTGTTTATTCTATTTATTGAAAGGCAACCACGCGGAAAAGCTTGTGTTAATTATATTGATAAAAGAACCTGGCAACTCGCACGTTGTCTAAATTCTCAAGTAACATAAAATTCACAAAAGAATACTTTGCTTGTATTACCATCAATACGCCATGTATAAATTTTAACAACACACAAAAATAGAGCTTTTGCACGAGCGTTTGTTTGCTTTTCAACACCATTTATAATTTTCTTTTTATAAAATCACGATTTGTCAAATGCTAAAATTTATTTATCTAATAATAATGCAGCACACAACCCTGAAATCTAAGAAAAAGTCTGAGGAAGGCAATTAAATAGCAGCACACAACCCCGTGCCTTCCTCAGGAGTGAATATAACTACAACAACAACGACTACTACACCAACAACCCAAAAAGGTTGGTTACTGTCTATACTGTGACCACCACCTTGTATGGATGCGCCTTGACTGATAAGGCCCGTTTACATAGAACTTTGGCGTTGCGTTGGCGTTGGCGTCGCTTCAACAGCTGACTATGAATACATGAATTCAAATGCAGCCGTCCACATAGCCAAAATTCGACAACGCTCACGCCAACACAAAGCAAAAAGATGGCCAACTCTCAACTTTTCGCGTGCGTCGCTCGTCAGCTGTTGCGAATAAATAAAATTATGTGAAATATTTTTCCTTTTTAATCAAGTGCGGGCAAGAAATATCGTTTTTAATGCAATTATTGATATGAAATATTAATTTATCTGTCGTTAATATGTTAATTTAGTGGCCCAAGGATTCGCCGCCAAGCGTTCATTGTAGCAAGCATACTTTTAACGTGCGTTCTGTCAAACCAACGCCAACGCCAACGCAACGCCAAAGTTGTATGTAAACGGGCCTATAGTGTTTATATATGCTTTTTGCCCGCTCCGCTCAAAGAGTCGCCATGGCCGAGTGGTCAAAGCATTAAGAGCGCGGTTACCCACGAACGTGTACGTAGCGTAGCGTGGAAGTACGTAGAAAGATATCAAGTGTGCTGTTGATAGAGAGAGAAGCAACGTCTACGTCACGGTGTTGCGGTGGTG